CTGTGTGTCCTGTGTGTCCTGTCTGTCCTGTCTGTCCTGTGTGTCCTGTGTGTCCTGTGTGTCCTGTGTGTCTGTGTGTCTGTGTGTCTGTGTGTCTGTGTGTCTGTGTGTCTGTGTGTCTGTGTGTCTGTGTGTCTGTGTGTCTGTGTGTCTGTGTGTCTGTGTGTCTGTGTGTCTGTGTGTCTGTGTGTCTGTGTGTCTGTGTGTCTGTGTTACTGTGTGTCTGTGTGTCTGTGTGTCTGTGTGTCTGTGTGTCTGTGTGTCTGTGTGTCTGTGTGTGTGGGCGCGCGCTCGCGCGTGCGTGCGTGCGTCTGTCCGCGCGTGCGTGCGTGCGTGGGTGGGTGGGTGGGTGGGTGGGTGGGTGGGTGGGTGGGTGGGTGTGGGTGCGTGCGTGCGTGCGTGCGTGCTTGCGTGCGTGCGTGCGTGCGTGCATTGTGTTTGGTGCGCGCTGTGCATGTGTGGGTGTGTGTGTGTGTCGTGTGCTGTGTGTGTGTTGTGTATGTTGTGTGAGCGTGTGCTGTTCGCGTGCGTTGTGCGTGGGTGTTGTGTGCGTGTTGTGTTTGCATCTGTTTGTGTGTGCGTGTGTGCGTGTATGTGTGTGTGTGCGTGTGTGCGCGTCGTGTGCGTTTTGTGGTTGGTGTTTGCAGTAAGTGTGTGTGTGTGTGTGTGTGTGCGCGTTGCGTGTTGTGTGTGTGTGCGTTGTGTCTGTTGCGTGTGTGTGCGTGTTGTGTGTTGCATCTGTGTATGTGTGCGCGTTGTGTGTGTACAGTGCAAGCACTGCAGAAGAAATCATTGTAGAAGAAATTGAGGGGCTGAGATCTCAAATCAAGCGGGGTGCAACTGCATTTGCTGCTAAGAAACTGAGCCACCCTGGATTGTTCGTCCAATTTCTTAACCAACTTGAAGCTTGTGCGAGGAAGAAAACGACCTCCACACGCCAAGAATTGAATCGATGATATCTGGTTTCTGAGGCGCAGGTGTGGTACCGCTACACCAGCTCACCTTGGTATGGGCTCCTTTTCGGCGATGAAGGGCCCCTTTGCTAAGAAATTCAGGAATTCATTCCCCTAAAAGAAGACAAGGTTAAGAAATTGGCTAAGAAATCCTGCCTTGTGTGTATGTCGTGTGTGTATATGTTGTGTGTGTGTGTGTTGATATTTGTGTTGTGCCTGTGTCAGTTGTGTCTGTATGTTGTGTGTGTGTGTGTGCTGTGTGTGCGTCTGTGTGTTGTGCTGTGCTGTGCTGTGTGCTGCTGCGCTGTGCTGTTTGGTGAAGTGCAGTGCAGTGCTGCGCGGCGTGGGCGGGCGGGCAGGCGGGCTGGGGCTGGGGGGTGGCGTGTGCGTCAAGGCCATCGTCTGGGCAAGCTAAGGCCAGGCTCCTACAAGTGCACCCATAAGATGCAATTATAAATCTGGCCTCAAAGGTGAGGGATTGAAATGTGATCGGATCGTGTCCTCCAAGACTTGTGGGAGGCGATGATTCACTGTGTCGTCATTGACGCCTAAGCTGCAACACTCAGGGCAAGATGCCCCTACTAGCTGAGCTGAAAACTTGGATACTTAGGTTGCTTTCAGTTCTTGATCTGAATCTTCAAGGTTACGGGTCGTAAGGGTCATGAGCAAAAGGCAGGGATCCCAATGCCGTGCTCCCAAGCTTGCCACAAGTCATTGAGTCAGGGGGCAGTAGATGAGCCACGGATCGCCGCCGAAG